ATGTCTGATTACCAGCCACCAAATTTTTTATCATTACTTAACTCTCAGCTTCCTTGTTTGTCATCATGTTAGCATAAGGTTTTCCTTTGCAAAACAGTATTATGCTGCTGCTCCTAGTTCACAATTCCATTAAATATTTTAGTATTCTGCTCATTTTGTATGTTATCACTTTTGGGGCAGTGGAGCTGCAGATAATTCTGCATCCCACCACATAATAACAGAACAGCCTGGACTAAATTAAAGTGATTTAAACCACATTTGAATCGATAGATTGCAATTTGCATAATTTCCCTAAATGCTGCATTTCACCATACAGTTTAAAAAAAGGCAGCAACAGAAATCTGGAAATCTGTCGAACGGGAGTTTTCAGAGGGGAAAAGTCGCACAAATTCAATACTGAGATGTGGCAGGCAGAGCTTCCTGTGAGTTAATTACCTCACACAAAGATTTTGTCAGTTTGCAAAAAAACATTTCCAAGAAACTAATTAACTAGTAATCAAAAAGTAATGGTTGTAAAGACATCAGGCTTGAGATGATATTAATCTTGGAAAAAATATCAGTTTAAATGAAATTGAGCAGATCTTATTCAGCAGAGACAGACCTTTTATTTCTCTATAAACTGCAGAATATTGCAATATAGCCTATAAAGAAATGTATATGCAAAGCTTTAAAGCACTTGCCATAATGTGCTGATCATAAGAGACAGTGCTCTGCCTCCTGCCAGGAGTGTACTTTATTAATGTATTGACTTGCATTATTGATGGGTGCATTATGGTAATGGCTGTAGGATGTGCTACATATGGGAAAAGCTGAACTGGCACATTTAAACTACACTGAACAGACTGGACCCATAGTTACCCCCCAGCAAAGGAAGCATGCTGCTGAAGTAAGGAGATGAATGGTGGCAGAGATAGCCATAACGTTGTCCCCGGGGGCTGGTCTATCAGTTAGAGTCAGCTGGTTAGGACTGCACTGAGGTGGAGCGAAGGAGAATGGCCTCTGAATTTGGTCAACATTAATCACTGGGAAACAGGAAGACATGAGTGATGTAATGAAAACATGCTAAAAGATAAGTTTGCTATATTATCCATCCATCCAATCATTTTCTAACTGCTTTGTTCAATACAGGGTCATGGGGGAGCCAAATCTTATCCCAGCAAGCAATGGCTGCAAGGGAGGGTACACCCTGGATGGGACACCAGCCCATCACAGGGCACAGACAGACACAAACATGCGCACGCTCACATGAGGGTCAATTAACCTACCGTACCATTACTGTACTGAATATTTCTGGACTATGGGAGGACACTGGAGCACCATGAAGAAAACCCATGTGAACACAGGCTGAACATAGAAACTCCACGTGGATAGCACACTACTGTAGGAACTGAGCCCAGGGCCCCAGCGCTGCGAGGCAGCAGTGCTGACCACTGCGCCATCGTTCTGCCCAAGATTGCTTTATTATTTACAGTACTTGATCATTTGTGTATGATTTTCCACATGATCAGTGCAATGCAAACATTTTGGAATAATGCAATTTTTACTTTAATATAATCGGCCAATTTCCTCAAGAAGTCAATTATATATATAAATGCACACACAGCAGAAGACACAAATGCATTTGGTAGCTTAGGCTCTAACATCACCCAGACCCAGACGGTGGCAGCTATGAAGAAAGGTGACATTCATACGTGGACTCTAGACTGTTGCAGATAAGCAACAACACCACTTTGTTTGGGTGTGCTCATTTTAATTTGAGGCCCTGAAGCTTTCACATATACAGTAGTTATGACTCACTTTCCTGTGTAATTTAAAAAGTCTTTTAGGAATGTACAGAAAAGATGTGCACATTTTTTTTTTCAAACACCCTGAGGCTGACTGTCATATGAAGGAATGAGGTTGTCGACTAACAGGAGTTTTCTTTTATTTGTCATTACAACTCTTTCACAGCTTTTCCAGCATCGGGACATGAACCCAAAAGGGCACATATGAGCTTCTCTGGTAAATTGTAAGCAAGAGTACAGACCCTGTGAGAGAAAGTACAGGGGTATGAGTAAGTATGGTATACCAATCTCCTCTGACTGGGGGATTGAAACTGCTGATCAATACAATCCCCAGCCCCAGTCGTTGTGAGGAACCACCAGCCTTCTACTACGTGCTTTGGTAGAGGTCATGTGACGTGATGGCTGAGCAACTGCACATTTTATTTCCGTAAAAATGTGAGCAGTGCAGCTCACGCCATAGTGAAACAGAGAAGTTTGGTAAAGCATGGGCGAATCACTGGAAGTGCAATGGAAAAGACAGAGGGCTTTGCATAGACTAAGAATCAGAAAACCACTGTTGTAGACGTATTGTCAACTTTTAAACCAACAGGCATTGAAGATTAAGGAATTTCTGTAATATCATGAAAATTTGTTGAAGGCCCTGAAGCCTTTGGAGATAAGTTGGAAACGAATCCGGTAGACAATGCTGGCCATTGGAATAACACAGAATGCACTCAGGCTAGAACTGAACCCAAGACCCATGCAGCACCAATGCTAACTGCCATGCCAAACCTATAATAACATATTGTTTCTATTTTCTAAAGAGCTCTTAATGAACAGACACCACAAGGTGCTTCCCGATTTAAATAATTAAACAATATTAAACTTAACACACTTCCATTTTAATCCTAGTTCTAAACTCATTCTCTGTCTCAGTCAATAATCTGCAATGTATAACCTGCTCAGCCTGATTTTGAAAGATGTCTTGACGTACAGCTTGTGTTAATGCACTCCAGGGAAGCTGAGGCAGAGAATCAGCCTGATGCTCCACAGCAGGGCCAAAACCATTTGCAAAGATCATGCAGTCCATTACTCCCTGCAGTCAGGCAAGCTCGTAAAAACAAATGAGCAAACATAAAACATGTCACAACACAGCGGGAGCTCGATCGTCTTTTAAATTTGAAGTTAAAACCAAGGGGACTTTGCCTTGTTCATGGCATCACAGTCTTCTACAGCTACTGCACATCTTCATTCTCATTTCTTTTACATTTTCCACTGTAGAGCTCAATGTTAAAGTAAACAGCTGCCACGAAGAGACAGTGCCACTGCATCAGAACAATAAGCACAAAATGGAGCTAGCATAACACCGCTTAGTTGGTTTGGCCTTGTGAATCTCAGAGTGCATCCTACTATCTGAATTGGGAAAATGAAAGTGCCCATCGCAGTGGTTAGCATTGCTGTCTCGCAGCACAGGGACTCTGGATTAATTTAAGATCTGGGTGCTGTCTGTGTGGTGCTTGTACTGTATGATCTTCTCGTGTTCACATGGGTTTTCTCCAGGTGCTCAGTTTTCCTCCCTCAGTCCAAAGAGTTAATTGGCTTCTGGAAAAATTGGTCATAGTATGTCTCTGTGTGCCCTGTCATGGACTGACCTCAGGCTCTCCCCTGCCTTGTGCCTGTTGATTCCCAGGATAGGCTCCAGGTCCCCCACAAACCTGAACTGGATGAAATGGTTATAAATGGTCTGTGTCCATTTTTTAAAATTGGGTGGATGAAAGTGTCAATTAAATGTTCATGAGAAGACAATAGCCATGGCCCTGTGTACATTATCCAGTCTATTTCAGCTGGTAAGGGACTTCATCATCTAGATGCAGAGACAAAACAGAGTATTATGGAGTACATGCTGTTAGGGCTGTAAGAATGGATGAAGCATTATGTGAATACATACATAAAAATGGGTGGTAAATTAACGGCTATGATAGTCTGTTTTTCTTGCTTATAATACACACTACAGAGCTGTGAAGAAGAGACACATCAATTCTCACAGTATTGCTCTGATGAGAATAAGCACATCCAGTATAAAAGTGATGTTTGAGGTGTAGGTAAAATAGCAATGTTATACTATTTATCTGCAACACGATGACTCGGACTTCCCCAAGCACAAAACTTCCGGTCCATCTCTCAGTCACTGCTCACTGAAAATAACTCAGGTACAGCTTCAACGAGGGTTGATATTCTGGAATCATATTCCTGCCAGCTCTGCTATCTGAAACATTCCTCCCCAAGCTGCTTGCTGAAATGTGCCTGCTGCATAATTTATTGTTTCCTATTATATCCGAACATAATTCCATAAGAACATGCAATATTGATGGCTGGATTTGTACAGCTTGGATCTCCATCCCAGAGAAACTGTAGCATGTATTATTCACAGCCTGGCCTCCCAAAAATCTTCTATGCCCTTTGTTCAGTAAAGGAAAAAACATAATTCATCTGGTTCTCAGAAAACAAGCAGGAAATACATTTGTAAGTCTCGTTTTGCATAGCTGTTTGATACATTTCATATTTTTTCACCTTGCAGGTTCTTGGGAAAACAATGCTGATCAAAAATGAGACCAAATATGAATTCAAATCCATTTCTCAATCTCTGAAAAATAAGATAAGATAATATGCTTGTCTTAAATGCAAGACTCAGCATCTCATTCAAATTACTAATTGCACTGCTGTACAGTACAGGTTATATTTCCATTCCCCAAAGAGCAAGCAATTAAAATAACAGACTATTAAAAATATAAATGAGTAAAATAAACACGATTTGTTAACAGACTGCAGATTAAGTCTGATATGTGCTGCAGCTAGTAGAATTTCTAAAATGTACAATAAATATGCAGATCCTTTCATATAGTTTTATACAAATGCATAACTTCTAATTCAGTTTGCTGCTTAAGCAATTTTCCATATATTACTCATTTATTAGTTAAAAGGTAGAAAGTATCTATTAAAGCCTTGTACTGTAGTACCATGGTTAAAGTTCTCTTTTGGCACAAATAACTAATGTTTTCTCATACAGAAATCAAGTCAGGTGGCCAGGGAAAAGGCTGGAAACCATTAAAAATTACTAAATCTTTGCGCTTGGCAAATACATCGACTTTTTTCCTGGCAGACAAAGGCTCTTTGCTAATTACCTGCTCATGCCCAATATAAAGTGCTAATGGCTTTTCTTTTCATGTCTGTCCCCAGGCGAGACGTATTCGGAGACGTACAGCCTGACGGAGGCCTGCCTGCCCTGCACGCAGTGCACAGGCCTGCTTCGCATGCAAGCGCCCTGCACTGACACCAACGACGCCGTGTGCGTGTGTGCCTACGACTACTACCGGAACGAGCTGACGGGGCAGTGCCAGCGCTGCACTGTCTGCCCGCAGGGCCAGGGCGTGCTAGAGAAGTGCTCTTACCAGTCGGACACCTTGTGCGAAGAGTGCCCGGAGGACACCTTCTCCGACCAGGAGAGCAGCCTCGACCCCTGCATGCCCTGCACTATCTGCGAGGAGGACGTAGAGATCGAGCAGGAGGCCTGCACGTCCACCTCGGACACCGTCTGTCGTGGTAAGACCCCGCTCTAGCTTCCCAGCTACCCAGAGTCCCAGAGTGCATGCCAGCACAAGCTAGAACGGACACAAACACATCCTTAGCTGCTAGCTTGTTGCTCTGCAACATTCACCCGTACAGACAGCAGACCTTTTCAGTTTCCCTGCAGTGGTGAGAATGTGGCGAGGGAGTCATGCAGTCAGCCTCCTGCGGGATTGCCTGTTCACATCAGAGCGGGCGTGAGGCTCTGCTGCCGGGCACAACTGTGTTGGTGTCTGCTCTGTTTTGTGCTTTGTGCTGCGGTGCAGAGGTTTTATTTCTGTGTCAGATCTTCCCATTTCCTGCTAAGGCAATGCTGTGAAAGGGGATGCATATGTCTGACCACATGGCATGCAATTAGGATGTGGCTGGAAAAGATTAACATGTTTGAGATGTGGCTGGAAAACATCGGAGAGACATAAATTGAATCAAATTTTGCTTCAATTAATGTTTGGTTTACAGGAAATGTCCACATCCACCTCCAAACTATGTACAATATATATGTTCATTTTTCACACACCATGGTAAAATTATGGTAATGCAATCTAGTGAATCGTAGTTAAATCGTAGTAAATCAGGAAGAGATATAATAAAGCCTTGAAATAACAGTATGAAAGCACAATGATAAGTGAAAACATGGGAAATACCTGTGCAGATTCACGGTATTTACTGGTATTTCCAGCAGAGACCTGTAGTGTTTAGAGTTTTAGTGTTATTAACATGAAACTCCTGTTGAAAAAACAAATATATTATGCATCTGTAATACTGTCTGTTCATAGCTACTGTATATGACATTGACTTTATTCTAAAAGGTTGGAAACACTTGGAGACATATTTCCAAGCTCGGCTGTAGGCAGGAGAAGTTCAGAGAGCTTCATCATCATCATCCAGAGAACAGAGTTACAAACCAGAGCCAGCAATTCACCCCATCTGACCATAGAGGAGGCTCAGGGAGCTCATGGCCTGCACTGCTGTTCTCATTTGGAGAGTTAATGATCCCCAGGGAAATCAGAATCTTTAGGGTCGTAACAAAAGATAACATTCCAACATATTTAGTCTCAGGAGAATTTTCACTTGTACTGTGCAGCATTAATATTAATTAATGTTGTATAAAATATTGATAGGCAGCAAGAGATTTGTTTGTAAAGTTTTGAGAGGGTAATGAAAAGTGCAAATCAGAATTTTACAACTTAAAAATATGGGCCACCTGATTCGATTTCAGAGGAAGCTCCCGATGACTGTGTGGGGTCGAAAGATCTTTGCGGACTGTCTTGTACTGAAATAGTCACTTGGCAGAGCAACAAGTGCAACAGAGTTTGTGCTCCTGATGGAAAGGCTTGGCATTGGAAGCATACTTACAACTCAAGAATGCCTCCCAAGAGGAGAGTGACCTCCATTTCCATGCCTGCCAAGGGAAGCCTAGCAGTTGAAAAACTGGGATTCGTTTAAATTCTACTGCAATTTCACAGTAGCCCAGATGCCATTGTTAGTGTGTGGGTGGTGCTGTCATTACACAGGCCATAAATGTAATTTCTTCAATAGGCCCAACAATGGCCTCAGAGCCTTCAGAGACAGAGAGAGATAGTAGCTAGTATAAAGCAAGCAGACAATCTGATCAGAGGTGACAAAGGTCACATGTGTGTCAGGAAACGGCCTGTCATTGATCATTATTATGCCTGGGGGGAGAGTTTTGTCTCACTAAAGAACAAGTGCATGGTCTATGTCGACTGAATGAATAACACAAGAAAAATATTCTGTGCATTGATGAATCAGAGTATTCAGCTTAATGACATTGCATGGCGAAAGACAAGCGAGTTTTACAGAACAAGAATGTCACGTTGATCTGACAAGCAGTATCCATTTACATAGATATATGTATAAAGACAATTACTGCATAATAAATAGAAAAAAACCCATATCACACATGAACTAAAAATGTATGTATATACTGTATATGTTACCAATTCCATAGGCATAGATTTTGGGCATCAATAACAAAATCTATTTTTCAGATTTCATTATAAATATAAAAATCTAGGTAAATTTAGAAAAACGCATTGAAATTTTATTTAAACAACTTTTATTCCATCTTGGATAATTTCCATAGTACCATAAAATTACATACATTTAATACCTTAGCATGTGAACTTCGAAAATCACTCTGTGAGAGATGATGTTTCAGCAGGGAGAGAGCAAACACAAGAGCTCATCACCTCAGAACTGTGCAAGACCATCCCGCAATCTGAAAAATCTGATTACTTACAGTATATGATAAAAAACAGCATGTGTTCACAAGAATTGAAAAATTAAAAAAGCAAATAACAGTTGCTATGATAAAGACCCTTCAGATGAAACTTTAAACCTACTGTAGGTCCTGATTTAGTTGTCAAAGATCTTCATGGCACTGTTTGTAAGAGGGATTTGTCCTGGCTAAATTCTACTATTGGTTTGTACAGTGTTAAAGTTTCCTCTTAACTCAATTGGTGAAGGAATTTCTCCACCTGATCTGCTGTATATATGATCTAGGAGAGCAGAATAGCTGCAGTGCATCACCCTGATAGGGGCTAAACTCCAGTGATGGAAGTCCTCTGGGATTCTCTGGGATGAAAACATCTGATGATTTGCCTTGGCAGTTTTCAGTCTTAACATGCTTAAGCACTACATACTGTATGAAAAGGTCAGCTGACTGTCATCTGACAATACACTGTATTGTCATATCAAGGGGGATGGGGTCAAAGGTGCTGGAGTGTAGATCAACTCTAACCAATTCTGGATGGTTTTGCTCATGAGATTCAGAGCTGAAGCTTGAGGAGTAACAAGAATAATTCTATATGTTGGCAGGCTCAAGCTATGTGACTATTGTCAATATTTCACAGTGCACTTAGAAGAACCACCAATATGCATGATCTGTCTCTTTAAAAGAGCAAATACAAATATTTATTGCTTTATTTGTTGCTTTATTTAGGATTTTGTCCTTTGATGCCCCCTAAAAATTACTTAATTGAATTAATTAATTCTCAGGGTATTTTTAGCGAAAGAGTTTGTTTCAGGAGAGTGTATTGGTCAGAATGTGAGTGGTCTCCCATTTCTGCATGCCCATCAGCTTGCTGGTTTTGTTGTCAACAGTCCAGAATATCAATCATGGTCATAGAATACTTTAGGGTAGCAAAACCTATCATTTCTATTAAGTGCCTGTTTTAGCTCTGACTCACTGAACAAGATATTGAGATACTCATAGAGTTCCACCTTGCAATCACATGAGAAGTTGTTTTCCTCAAAGCATCTAAACAATCAGAGCTGCAGCACATATTTTCAGAACACATGAATAAACCCTGAATGAGACTGGTTGTTCATGCATTCTCAGTTCTAAACATACTTCATCATGTTCATCACAAAACACACAGGGGCCATGTTTTCACAGGAGATCCAAACACCAGCTTTTAAAAAAGCAAAGGAGACCAGAACATGGAATCACCTTTTAGACAGAAGCAGATGTGGTCTCGAGTATCTGAATCTTTTCATTACAGGATGTTGTGAGGTTAGCTGTGCTTCCAGCTGCGCCTGGTGTTTCTCAGGCTTGAGGTATTTCAGGTGCTCAAGAATATTAACTGAAAGCAGCCGCTCCCATCTCTGCACAGATGGAAGAAAGGTGTAGGGTAGACAGCAAGGCTAAATGAGCACAAACACGTACACAAACGTGCACACAGAAAAACACAAACATGCATTCAGAAAAAGGTGTACTCAAAGGGAAAGACTGAACACTGATCAGAGACATATACCACTCATTACCTCAACATGCAAGTCCTTAATGGCTTTTTATTATTTATGTTAAGAAGAGCACACTATACTATTTTTCATGCAGGTGTCTAAATATGTTATTTAAATGCTTTACCATGTCAAATCATGATTGAACTAATTGACCATGCCTTCTCAGCTGAGTTGAGTTTATATATACCTTGGAGGTCAGACACTTGAATGAGAGAGCCTTTATGATGAGAGGAATCAATTGCCCATGGAAGATTACAACAAAAATGCAATTTACAACAAAAGACTTTAAGTCTAATTTTGGGCTGTTGTTCTTTCCAATGCCAAATAAAAGAAAAGTCAAGCTGTGAACAGAAAGGAAGCAAAGACTATGTCAGTGTTTGGGTGTCTGTTGTTAGCGTATCAGAATTGTCAAGCCACCACATTCTGGCTATAAATCATAGAGGAGTCATTTGTTATGTGCCTTGACAATTCCCAAAGTTCCTACTTTTCTTAACCCAACTGACTGTACACTATTTCCTTAGGATCATGCAGGATTTCAGAAAAGTTAACAGTGATGACAAGTGAGCTGGAGTATAAATTATTAACACGTTCCACACATCCATCAAAGCATCTGTCTGTTGCCTCCAGCCTGTTTCACAGTTCCCAAATGTGTCCTTTGACTCCATGTGCTGAACTAAGTGTGAAGAACTGCCCAGAGGTCTTCAGACTCTTATTAGCGCTTCAACTTCAGAAGGATTGGTTTGCCTGAGCCATGGGTACAAGGCATTGAGTCTGAGGTTCAGCTCCAGGCCAGACTTTAACAGTGTTGACAGGAGCCTCGTGGGGAGAGCAGAAGTGGGAGCAAAGAGTCCAATACACACTCCCCCACAGTGCTGTGCCCCTCAGACCCTACTGCTGTGAACCCAGTCAGGCCAAGTTCAAAACTTTGCTCAGCTCCCTTATTGGGTGCACAAAAACATATATAAAATCCCAAAGCAAAAGTTAATATTAGACTAATTGAAAACTAAAATTTTATGTTAAGCCTGTTCAGAAATGCATATGGGACTAGTATCTTCTAAGAATATGAGATTCTGGCTGTTAAGCGTTCTATAATGTAATTGCACCGTGGTCTAAAACAGTGCTTCCTTTTTCATGATCCCTTCAATAAACGCCACAGTGCTTACGGATATCTGCTTTTCCAGGATTTTGAATTAGGAGTTTGATTTCATGTT